AGTGGGCTGACGTTTCTTCAGTGCTTATCAGATCTGACCTCATTAGATGTGGTCGCCACTGACTGGGCCTGTGATGGTTCTAAACTCACCTCCTTTCTGAACGAGCCAGTGCAGACTCACAGAGCTGAATAGCTTTCTCCTGTCATGTACCCTTCTGGGATTCCACGGCTTCGTGAGTTCCCCTGTTTTCCAATGGATTGCCTATTTCTCCTTCAGTACTAACCGTGCATCAAAAAACTTCCTTCATTTTTCAAGTTAAACATTCCGTTAACAATTTTAAATTTTCTAATCCATTTAACACTGCTGCTCCCATCTTTTTGATTTGATTAGATTTATTGTTTTGATTTATTATTGTCACGTGTACCTAAGTACAGTGAAGCGTTTTGTTTTGCATGCAACAGTAAATCATAACGTACAAAGACACAAAAATCATAGGGTGATTGAACAGAGTGAGGAATACAAAGTTACAGCTGCAGAAAAGGTGTACAAAAAGCAAGATCAATATTAGATTTGAAATTTGAGAGGGCCATTCAGAAATCTCATAACAGTGAGGAAGAAACTGTTCTGGAACCTGTTGGTACGTGTCTTTAAGCTTTTGGAGGGGAAGGTCTTATAAGATCACACATACATCCTTAGATAAAATCCAAAAGAACTGTGGATGATGTAAATCAGGCACAAAAACAGAAGTTGCTAGAAAAACTCAGCAGGTCTGGCAGCATCTGTGAAGAAACCTGAGTTCTGAGGAAGGGTCACCAGACCCGAAACGTTAACTCTGACTTTTTCTTCACAGATGCTGCCAGACCTGCCGAGTTTTTCCAGCAACTTCTGTTTTTGTTTTACATCCTTAGATAGATTGGAAAACAAAGATCATCATCCGCTAGGCAGTTCCTATTTGAATTCTAGTTTCCTTACATCCTGGTTTGCCCTGTCATTGATGCTGTGCCAAAGCAAAGGACCTAGGTAGCTGAAGGTATGATTCATGACATTGTAGTGAAGAAGGAAAGGATAGAAGAGGTTTGAATAAAGAGAAATTGTTCTCAGTGGCTGAGGGTTTCTTAACAAGAGGGTAAACATTATAAGGTGATTGGCAAAACAGTCGGACAGGAAATGTTCGTTGTCATTTTGGGCCGGCACGCTGGGCTCAGTGGTTAGCACTCCTTCCTCACAGCACCAGGGATACGGGTTTGATTCCACCCTGGGGCATCAAAGTCAAGAAGGGCTTTAAATAGGAGGATGAGGATTTTAATTCTGAGAGATTGGTGCACCAGGAGCCAGATTGGCTCAGCAAGGATGGAGTCATTGGTGAGCCAGGGGTCTCCTCCAGGTCAGGGTACAGGTAACAGACTTCTGGATAAGTTAGGAGCAAATTACTGCAGATGCTGGCATCTGTACTAAAAGCAAAAATTGGTGGAGATCACAGCAGGTCGGGCAATATCCATGGGAAGAGAGCAAGCTAATGTTTTGAGTCTATATGACTCTTCATCAGAGTTGGATGAGTTGCAGTTTAAGGAGATTGTAAGACAGGAGGTCTCCACAAGAGCATCAGAAAAGTTCAGCCTGGAAATGATATTGGGAAAACTTGAGGATTTCAGCAAAGGACCAGGGACAACGATTGGTGATGTTATTTGGGTGAAATTAGGTAGTTTTTGCAAAAGAGAGTTACAAAATAGGAAGCTTAGTTCAGAGTCAAATATGACAACTTCCCAATATTTTGCTGGACGGTATTATGGCTGCTCCAAAATCATGTGGCAGGTAAACAGCGTGACCGTACAGCAGCAGTGGAGACTATGAGAAAGTTAGTGGATAGATAGAACTGAGGACCCTCAGCATTCCTGCAGAAATTGATGACTATAGGTAATAATGTCAAGGTGCAGCTCGTAAATGAAGAGTAAGGGTATAGGTTAGATCTGCAGGAAACTCCAGAGGTCATAGCGCAGAGATAAAATGGTTTGGTGAAATTAGAACTAACCACACACAGTTGCATGGCAACATAGGGTGGGGGAAGACAGAAACAATGTTGAATCCTTGCAAAAGCCTTGGTTAGACCAAAGCAATGATCAGTGCAACATACAGGGGTGTGATGGATTAGGCATTGATGCCTTTGACAGTATCATGATGAGAAATTATAGTTTTGAGAAATGATTAAAATACTGAGCATTCCATAAAGCTAGGGAGAAGCTTTTTAAACAAAAAATTAAAATAATTATCATCCACAGAACAATGTACAGTTTAGGCCTCCATATTTCAAAGGAGTGTAGGGACACTGGAGTATGTCTAGAAAAAGTTTGCGAGGATGATTCCAGCAGTGAGAGGAAAACAGCCTCCACATATCCCAGCTTGTCATATCGTTGTATCTCAAAATAGATACCATTTGCTCAATGAAATACAACACTACAGCTGCACTGCCTCAAATCCAGCTCTCTGAAAATGAATGTTGTTCAAACAATTAGCGTTCTTTAAAATTCATTTTCGTTTACTTCTTATTTTAAGCAGATTGTCCTTATGGACTTCGGGGATTTGACAGGTAGATGTGGAAAGGTTGTTTCTCCTTGTAGGAGAGTCTAGGATCAGTGGGCATCATCTCCAAATCATGGGTCACACATTTATGACAGAGATGAGAAGGCTGTGAATCTGTGGAATTCTTTACCACAAAGGCCTGTTGAAGGTGGATCATTAAGTATATTCAAGGCTGTAATAGACAGATTTGTAATCCGTTCTGAGGAAGGGTCACCGGACCCGAAACGTTAACTCTGTTTTTTCCTTCACAGCTGCTAGACCTGCTGAGCTTTTCCAGCAACTTCTGTTCTTGTTCCAGATTTATAATCAGTCAGGGTTATGGGGAAAAGGCAGGAAAGTAGACTTGAGAATAATCAGATCAGTTATGATCTCATTGAATGGTGTAGCAGGCCTAATGGGCTGAATGGCCTACATCTGCACCTACATCTAATTGTCTTATGTAGGGAGGAAAGGGGAGCGTAAAAGACATAAATCCAACACATCAGCAGTAACTTGGCTTTTAATCAGAAGTGCTTTGCAATCATATCAGTTTGACCTTCCTATGCTCCCAATTCGCTGAGTAAGCCCTTCTGATTTGAATTAATGCATTCCAATGTTTTGAATGTGGAAAACCAGCAAGTTCTGAAATCTCACGTGGCCTCAGTGCAGAAGCTGCTGAATCTGAGAGAGCATTTGCCTGTAATAATATTTGAAGAAGCACTGAGTTAGCAGATCAGACGTTCCTCCCACCCCACATGGTCTGACCGGGACCTATTCTGAACAAGAACAACGCCTCCCAAAGAAACAAAGCTGAGGGTGAAGCTGTGAAATGACATGGGTGAGAGATCTCTCAAAGCCGAAGAAGCAATACGTTAGCAAGTTTCAGCTCAATTAGGATCACTGGTCAAAGGAACCCGTCTGCTTTTATACCTCGAGGATAGGATTCAGAAAGTCAGCTTCCCTGTTATGAGCGAAGATGTAATTTTTGGGGGGGTGTGGCTGTGAGCGGTGTTAAGTCATTATTCTTTCTCTGAGCCCATTGTATTGATTTTCCCGATCTCTATAATAGACTCATAACAGTGTCAATTCATGGCATGTGAACAAATAAATGTGCTGGATAAAAACTCAAAATACAATCACCACTGTATTGGAAAACAAATTGAATTGGATACAGGGATAAAGAAGGTCTAAAAAAACTTACACAACCTCATTGTTCTGTCTATCAGTGCAGAGAATATCATGCTGGCATTTGAAGTCTGCAGTCTGATGTATCTGAAGAAGAGCCATACTGGACATGAAATGTTAGCTCTGTTTTCCTCTCCAGACACACTGCTGGACCTGCTGAGTTTCTCCAGCACTTTCTGATTTTAGTTCACATTTCCAGCATCTGTAGCTTTTTTGTTTTTATTGTAAACTGTCCATTGTTGCTCAATATCAATTGTCATCAGTAGATAAGTGCGTCGGATCTTCAGCTTTAGTGCTGTTGGGCTGAGCATATCAATGGTGTTTTTTAATGATTCCTGTCCTGACTGTTTTAAAAGACTAAGCTGCCAATTCAGGTTCTGACCCCTGACTGACGCATGAGCTGGCAAACTGGAGCAGCAAACCCAATTTCTGTCTCGCCCACATGTTTTGGATCATTCATTTTAAGGAATGAGGGATTGGGAATGCTGCAAAATCAGGCAAAACTCTGCTTACGAGAAACTGTGCAGCAGAAGCAGAACCAGTGGATGAGAAACTTTACACATTACCAGCTGCTAAACAAGGCCCCAGTTCAAGATGCACTCATCAAAATTGAAGGGAAGAAATTGTGGGTAAAGATATTGCCACAAGGGATGAGGGAGTTGTCCTATAAGGAGGGACCTGAGTCTATATCCTCTGGTGATTAGAAGAATGAGAGGTGATCGCAGTGAAACATACAAGACTCTGAAGAGGCTTGACAGAGTAGACCCTGAGAGATTGTCTTCACTGATGTGGGGAATCTAAAACGTAGGGGCACAGCTTCAAGATGACAGGTCAATCACAATGAAGAATGATTACTTTACACAAAAAAAATGGTGAATCTTTGGGATGACCTCCATCAGAAGGTGTGGATGCTCTGTTGTTGAATAGATTGGGGTGGACGGGTTTTTGGTGTCTCAGGGAATCAGTGGATTTGGGGAATAGACAGGAAAATAGACGGGAGTGGAAGCCCAAGATCAGCGATAATCGTACTGAATGGCAGAGCAGGCTCAACGTGCCAAATAACCTACTCCAGTTCCTATTTCTTGTGTTTTAAAGGGAATGAGAAGTTAAGTCACCGATTGAGAATACAAACAGCAAAAAGCCAAATGATTGTACACTTTTGAACTATCTAGATTTCATTTTAATCTTCATATGGATGTGCGGCCATTTATTTAGCACATTCCCTCGGTGTTAAAGACAAAACTAAAACCTGATGTATTCTGATGCTGCTGCACGTTTCATGAATAGTGTAAAGCTTAATGTGTCATCTCTTGTTAAAGGTCACACAATCACTGAAACTCTAGCTGCGGCCTTGCGGGTGGCTGAGGAAGCAGTTGAAGAGGCTATCACCAAAGCAGAGTCCTTCAGTGACAGTTTGGTGAGTTCCTACATCGGTGACGTTACAATGCAATAAATACAGCACAGGAACAGGTCCTTTGGCCCACCAAACCTGCGCTAATCCCTCATCCTTATTCAGACCCGCTACTTATTGTCCATGTGCAGTTTCTATCCCTCTGTTTGCCTCACGTTCATGTGTCTATCAAGATATGCCTTAAACGTTGCTAATGTGCCTGCTTCCACCATCTCCATTGGCAGTGCGTTCTAGGTACCAACCACCCTCTGGGTGAAAAATTTTCCCCACACTTCTCCCCTAAACTTTCCCCCTGTCACCTTGAACCTGTTCCCTCTTGTAGTTGACCTTTCCACCCTGGGAAAAAGCCTTTGACTATCAACTCTAGCTGTGCTTCTCATGATTTTGTAGACCTCTATCAGATCGTGCCCTCAGTCTCCATCTTTCCAGTGAAAACAATCCAAGTTTATCAAACCTCTCCTCATAACTAAAACCCTCCAGACCAGGCAACATCCTGGTAAACCTCCTCTGCACCCTCTCCAAAGCATCCACGTCCTTCTGGTAGTGTGGTGATCAGAACTGCACGCAATATTCCAAATGCAACCTAATTAAAGTTTTATGCAGCTGTAACATAACTTGCTAACTTTTATATTCACTGCCCCAGCCAATGAAGGCAAGCATGCTGCATACCTTCTTGATCACCATATCCATTTGTGTTGCCACTCTCTGTGGACTTGTATGCCCAGATCCCTCTGTACATCAATGATCCTAAGGGTTCTGTCATTTATTGTATAATTCATACCTGAATTTGATCTTCCAAAAGGCATCACCTCGCATTTGTCCGGATTAAACTCCATCTGCCATTTCACTGGCCAAATCTGCAAACTGTTTATATCCCCCTATATCCTTTGTGCAGGTTTCAGAGCAACTTGTCTCCTGTGTGATCACTGCTGCTTTTATCTTCTGCAGGTAATGTAGCACTTTGTCTGTTTGCAGGAAAAACAAAACGAGAGCCATTATTTACAAGAGCACAAGGAGGAACTGATCGAAGAACTTGCTACAACTATAATGCAAAAGGTCTGTGTTTCCCACACTGAAGTATTGCAAGAGAGAATGAATTATTATTCCACAGCAGAGTAAGTTTACAATATTTGTTAGTGTGGGATCATGTTATATATCCCAAAAGATTTCAAGACCAAAAAGCACTGTCAATGGACCTTGAAGATTCTTGTTGAAGAGCCTAATCTGATCTAGTGTCCAAAGTTACCAGCCTGATATAGGCCACAAAAATACAGGTGTTAATCACACTGGTAAAGAAGGAGGTTGTACTGTTAATGGGGCCATTTTACACACAGCTTTGTTGTAGTTAATAGAGACAATGTGTACAATAATGTTGATTTCCATCTTTGGAACAACAAAGCTTCTTCACTTCACAGATGTTGAGCTCCAAAGAAAGGAAACATTGTGTTTCAGATATACACTGTTTTCACTGCGGACACAGGAACACACAGTTGGGGATTTTCATGTTTTGTCATACCCGCCATGGGAGAAAAATGCCCAGAAGATAACAGAAGAATGGGCCCATCATCTCAATGGGAAGTGAGTGTGAGAGCCAGGCCCACCTTGAAATATGCCACAGGGACTGCCAAGCACCAAAGCAGACCAGTCAAAAGGCTCAACTCCATTCTCTAGGCCAACTCCATGGTTGAATATTAGATCCCCTAACCCTCATCCCTCACATTTCCCAAACCCTCCTCCCTTACCTCTCTACTCCCTTTCCATGCCCTATCCATTCCCATTGATCCTTAAATCCTGATGCCAACTTAGTGGCAAATCATTTCAATACATAACACCCCCATCAATTCACCACCTTTTGCTCTTAGACCCTCCATGCCAACACACCCAGTAACTACATGGGCAGAATAACCATTTTGAGATGAAATACAATGAAGTACTGAGTATCTAATACACATTTCACTCTGTCAGAAGAAACCCAGATTAATGAAGTCCATTCAATACATTTGAAACTCTTGAAGTACTTAATCACTTATAAACATAAAGATTTGCATTTATAACCCTGCATTAAAGATAGCTAATTTCTTAATAACTTATTGGTTAATCAAACTGTGGTTGTACAGCCTCCCCACTGTGGATAGTGGCAGGTTGTGAAAGTGAGTTAAGCAATAATACTATAACGATCCATCAATAAACATTTGTTAAAAATGCAGGCAGTAATGTTGTCTTCAACTCAGAGTCATGGATAGACTGCCTCTGTTTTCATTTAGAGAGAGGGAGGTTTTAAAAACCTTGACAGATTTACAGTTCCAGAGATCATATTCACCTATTATGAGCATTTACGCTTTGTCTAATAAAATCATAAGTCACTCACTACTGTAAAAATGACATTTGTTTGAATTCAGCCTTCTGTCCAATTTACCCCATTAGGTTTGACTTCCTCTCTTGCTTCACTCCTGTTTTCCCAATTGATGAAAACAGGCTGTATCAGAAATGTGGCCAGGACTTCTGGATCCAAGGTGCCAGCACTGCTTTGGGGAAACTGCGGAGTCTGTATGACTTGACAAAAATCTAAAATTTCGTGGTGCCCCTGCCCCTGGCTCTGAACCAGATGGGACCAGGTTCAAGTGTTGGTCACGTACACAGTGATGTGACACAGATGAGCGGGTGAATGACCAATCTGCCAATCCTTCCAACATGCCCATGGCAAGTGGTACGAGACTCTGGGGCCATTGTCTACTTATTGTGAACACCAAGATACTACTGCCTTCTGTTTATTGCAGGTGATAAAGAGGAAGAAGTCTGGGAGCGGATTGACTGATTCTGAATCTGAACAGTCACATTCGCAGAACAGAGCCTCAATCTATCCGCTTTCCATGAAAGAAAATGCCCCTGAGAACCGCAGTAGGATGTCACATCTGTGGGTAAGTTCAACAGCATTATTTCCATTTCCAGGTTTCCAGTTGCAAGCAAAGAATATGTGATATTATGCCGGAGACTGTGGCTGTGTTTATCGAGTGTAGGATGTAGCTTCCCTTATTTATTTTCACAAGCGTTTTCAGCCAAATACTGACAGAATGTGGTGTTGATAATGGTAAATCTCTGCCCTTTACTCATCTGCTGTGCCCATGTTGGCAGGATGAGTAGATTGGCCACCTATCCACATGCCTGCTGTTGCCATGACCAACAAGACCAGGAATGTCACTTAGGCTCAGAGGCAGGACCACTATCTCACTGAGCCAGCAATGAAGGCCAGAAAAGTTCTTTTTTTTAAAATTCATTTTCTTTATTTATTCATTTGTGGGATGTGAGCATTGCTGGCTGGGCCAGCATTTATTGCCTGTCCCTGCTGCCATTGCGAAGGTGGTGGTGAGCTGCCTTCTTGAACCACTGCAGTCCACCTGCTGTGGGTTGACACACAATCCCATTCGGGAGGGTATTCCCGGAATGGCAATATATTTCCAAATCAGGATGCTGAGTGGCTTGGAGGGAAACCTGAAGGTGGTGGCGTTCCCATATATCTGCTGCCCTTATCCTTCTAGATGGAAGTGGTTGTGTGTTTGGAAGGTGCTGTCTGAGGATCTTTAGTGAATTTCTGCAGTGCATCTTGTAGATAGTACATACTGCTGCTACTGAGCGTCAATGGTGGAGGGAGTGGATGCTTGTAGATGTAGTGCCAATCAAGCGGGCTGCTTTGTCCTGGATGGTGTCAAGCTTCTTGAGTGTTGTTGGGGCTGCACTCATCCAGGCAAGTGGGGAGTATTCCATCATGATCCTAACTTATGTCTTGTGGATGATAGATAGGGAGTTAATAGAACATAGAACAGTACAGCACAGTACAGGCCCTTCGGCCCACGATGTTGTGCCAAACTTTTACCCTAAACCTAAGGTCTATCTAACCTCCACCCCTACCTTTTACTATCATCCATATGCCTATCTAATAGCCGCTTAAATTACCCTAATGAGGCCGACTCCTCTACCCTCTCCAGCAATGCATTCCACGCCCCGACCACTCTTTGAGTAAAGTACCTACCTCTGACGTCTCCCCTTAAGTTGTTCCTTAAGGAGTTGCTCCTTAAGGTGAGGTAAGTAAAGATGAAAAAGCTGGAAGTCAGAAACATTTCAGTTTGTGTCGTTGTCACCTGCTTCCATTAAAACAAACAAGTTGGCTTTCTGGAGACGAACAATTAAGACAATGTTCTTCAAACTGGACAGTTGTTATCCTTGTGCAAGTTTGTACCTATCGCTTTTCAACAATTTCCTCTGTAATGGTAATGACAAAGATCAGGGAATTTCAGGAAATGAGATTTCCAACATCCAGTGTACTCAGAAGAGTATAATATTTAGTTCAGGAATACTTTTAGGTTAAAAAATGGAAAATATTTAAGAAATTAACTCAATTGATAATATCAGACTCAAATTCTTGATCAAAAACAGAAATTGCTGGAAAAGCTCGGCAGGTCTGGGGAGAGAAAGCACAGTTACATGTTGAGTCCAGTGACTCTTCATCAGAACAGGTCAGAAGAAGAGTCACTGGACTCAAAATGTAACTGTGCCTTCTCTCCATAGACCTGCTGAGTTTTTCCAGCAATTTCTGTTTTTGTTTCTGATTTCCAGCATCCGCAGTTCTTTGGGTTTTTTTTTGCTTAAATCTTGTATTGATTCGCCAGCTACATAGGAGGAAACTGCACAGCGTCAGAATTTATATGGAAATGTTCAAGGCTATGGTTACATTGGACAACACTGTGGGTGTCAGAACAGTATATGGTATAATGGATGGCATTCAAAACAGACTCACTGAAAACCCATGTACTGACACACTGCTGCTGGTGGGAACAAGGCATAACGAAGAGCTACACATGCACAGACAATCACAGTGCACATCGTGCACATGTACCACTCTCCCTGGTACCTTTTTTATTAGTGGCAGGAGATATAATGATACTTTTAGGGGAAGTGTGGTAGTCTTCAGAAAGTGACAGAAAGACATACTGATAGAATTTAACGAAGAGGTATGTGAGGAAGCACATGTGAAACAGCAATTGAGCAGGGCTCTGAGCCCTGTTTCTGTACTCTGCATTTAATGTCATCCAATGGGTACAGTAGTTGGGAAGTCACGTACAGGACATTGGCTAGGCCACTTCTGGAATATTAGGCTCCGTTCTGGTCTCCCTGCTATAGGAAGGATGTTGTGAAACTTGAAAGGATGCAGATAAGATTACCAAGGATGTTGCCAGGGTTGGAGGGTTTGAGCTACAGGGAGAGGCTGGGGCTATTTTCCCTCGAATGTCAGAGGCTGAGGGGTGACCTTATAGAGGTTTATAAAATCATAAGGGACATGGATAGGGTAAACAGCCTAAGGTCTTTTTCCCAAGGTAGGGCTGTCCAAAACTAGAGGGCATAGGTTTAAGGAGAAAGGGGGATAGATATAAAAGGGACCTAAGGGGCAACTTTTTCACACAGAAGGTGGTGTGTGTATGGAATAAGCTGCTAGAGGAAGTGGCGGAGGCTGGTACAATGACAACATTTAAAAGGCATCTGGATGGGTATGAGTAGGAAGGGTTTAGAGGAATATGGGCCAAATGCTGGCAATGGGACTAGATTAATTTAGGATATCTGGTCGGCATGATCAAGTTGAACCAAAGGGTCTGTTTCCATGCTGTACAGCTCTATGGCTCTATTCTGTGTAATGACCATAACAATTGTCCTAGTAATACTCATTCATGTTGATACAACACACCCTTGTTACTTTTACATTCGTCAACATGAGGTTAAGCAACAGCTTGACTTTTAGCAGGAAGGGAAACGAAAGTTATTTGTAAAGAAGACACAACTGCTATCTCTCAATTCACTTTAACTAAAGTTACACTCGCTTCTATGTGTCTAATCTAATACAATATTCGTGAACCACAACCAGTCAGGGATGTCGTTGTTGACAAAACTTTGGTGTAGCTGCATCTTTCTTAAGAAAAAGTTAGGGACTTGATGTAGAAATGGAAAACATGATCCACTTTCAGCCTCTGGAGTGTGCAGAGTATTTACAGCTGAGGATGATGCACGACTAATGCAGACCTTCAGTTGGCTCCAGAATGGAGCTGAACCATACACACAGCTTTTAAATCAATGTCACAGGGATAAACCGCATTGTGCACTCAGAGAACAAATGATATACTTCAGATTACGCAGCAACTATAAATCAAGCTTTGGCATGCTCTAGGCTAGATTAACTCTGCACCTAAACCTGAACAGCAGATTCATGTTCAAGAAAAGAAAACAGGTCCTACATTTATGTAGAGACTTCTGTGACTTCAGGATTTTACAAAATTCTTCACAGCTGAAGATGTACTTTCTTTAGCGGCACAATGACTCAGTGGTTAGCTGCTGCCTCACAGTGCCAGGGACCTGGGTTCGATTCCACCCTCGGCCGACTGTCTGTGTGGAGTTTGCACATTCTCCCTGTGTCTGCGTGGGTTTCCTCCGGGTGCTCCGGTTTCCTCCCACAGTCCAAAGATGTGCAGGTTAGGTGGAATGGCCATGCTAAATTGCCCCATAGTGCCAACACCTTCAATTCCATCTCTATGTTCCCTTTGCCACCATTACCGTTCCCATTGTCTTTGGCTCTGGGCACCCTCACTATCTGTTCCACTTACCCCCTCCTCCCCCTCTGTCTACAGCATAAAAGACACCATTTTCCAACTGGTTTCAGTTCTGAAGAGTTACGTCAGATTCGAAACATTAGCTCTGTTTTTCTCTCTCTGCAGATGCTGTCACACCTGCTGAGTTTCTCCAGCACATTCAGTTTTTTTTAAATTTCCGGCCCCTACAGTATTGTACTATTATCTGCCTGGCAGATCTCATGGTTCATTTGGCAGTCAGCTCCCACATTGTAAATGTTGATCCCAGCTGAGGCAACATTCAAAGCATCATTTTTCCAGCAATTTCTGTTTGTGATTCTGATTTCTAGCACCCACAGTTCTTTTGGATTTTTTGTTCGGAGCATTATAATCCAACTCACTGTAACTATGCTGGTAGGAATCACAGGAGGGGAAATGGAAATAAATCAGTGCAATGTGCTCCTGACTAGGTATATTAGTGTCCTTTAATTGTTGTAACTATGCCCGCATCCACCACTTCCTCAGGAAGCTCATTCCACACGCAAACCACCCTCTGTGTAAAAAAATTTACCTCTCATGTTTTTTTAAAATCTCTGTCCTGTCACCTTAAAAATATGCCCTGTAGTCTTGAAATCCCCCATCTAAGGAAAAGACACCCACCGTTAACCCTAACTATACCCCTTATGATTTTATAAACCTCAACCTCATCTCTCAACCTGCTGCTCTCCAGTGAAAAAAATCTCAGCCTATCCAATCTTTCTCTATAATTCAAACCTTCCATATCTGCCAACGTCCTGTTAAATCTCTTCTGAACCCTTCCCAGCTTAATAATAGATCCCTCTTTGAAACTCATTGCACTACCTTCAAGACTTGGTAGATGTGAGGTCATGTTATGGCTGTACAGGACATTGGTTAGGCCACTATTCGAATACTGTGTGCAATTCTCCTCTCCCTGCTATAGGATGTTGTGAAACTTGAAAGGGTTCAGAAAAGATTTACAAGCATGTTGCCAGGGCTGGAGACTTTGAGCTATAGGGAGAGGCTCAGACTAATTTCCCGGGAGTGTGGGAGGCTGAGGGTGACCTTATAGGTGTTTATGAGGGGCATGGAGAGGGGAAAGAGACAAGGTCTTTTCCCCAAGGTGGGAGGAGTCCAGAACTAGAGGGCATAGGTTTAAGGTGAGAGAGGAAAGATTTAAAGGGACCTAAGGGGCAACATTTTCACACAGAGGGTGGTGTGTGTACGGAATGAGCTGCCAGAGGAAGTAGTGGAGGCTGGTACAATTACAACATATAAAAGGCTTCTGGATG